AAAAGTATGAGCCGTATTGCCCCAAGCGGAGATACTTTGAATCTCTCATGTTTCTGAAGGACGAGGAGATTCCCGAGAAAAAAATCAAGCGTGAAGACAACCTACCCTTACAGCAGCAAAATACAGATATAACTGTAGCACAGCCGGAACCTCTCGAAGAATATTCGGATGCTGAGAGCTTGCCCAAACAAATGAAAAGCGATAATAAATTATCACCGAGCAACAGCAATAGCGCCAACGATTTCTGTGCCAATTTATTCGAGGAAACAGAAGTTGATCCAAATTTTAGCATCCAACCCGTAAACTCTTCCAACAATCAGACAACAATCAAGGAAGTGGAGACTATATTGCCGACGGACAATAGCAATATATCCGAAAGCAGAAAATCATTTAATAATTCCATCAACACCAACAACAATAGCTCGCTGAACGATAAGATTAACTCCACAGTCCACATTATCGAATCCAATCGCGATAAACGCGCGCGATTCATCAAGAATAGTCGGAAACGCACCTCGTCCGCATCCTCACAGGTCTCAAATGATAATGCGGAGACAACGCCACCTGGGAAATGCAGGGCCGACATTTCCAACATCGATTTCGATCGCCTCTTTTCGTTAGCTCTTAAGAATGCCGATAATCAATTGGATGATTATTTTACGAATTTTGGCAAAGTAGTAGCCCACAAGCTGCGCTCCATGGATCACACACAAGCGATCTACGCTGAGAAAATAATCGCCGATGTTCTCTATCAGGGACAGATGAAAATGCTATCCGCAATAAGTATAACCCAATTTCTAGGTGTAGATAATGCAACTGTTTATGTTGAAAGTCCTCCAAAATAATTGTTCTCAAAATAAATAATAAAAAAAAACTAATGTTATACACAAAATAAAATAATACACTGAAATTATAAATGTCTTACATTTGGCTTACAAAATATATAATTTTGATCTTTCATATTTTCATGTTTTAGAGTCTATAGTTTATCAAATAAACTTGTTTTCTCTGGCCTTAAATATCTTCATAAGGTATATATATAATTTGTATGACAACAATAGATTAGGGGAATCTTGGAATAACTCTTTACTCCCTTCGACATTAGGGGAATTACGACATGGATGAGTATGGAAGAGCTTTTAGCTGCGCTGTCTTCTAAGCAATGAACTTCTTTATCATTAAATGGAAATTTCTCTTTCACCCAATGGAAATGCTTCTTGGATCAAAATGTGAACCTCGTTTGTTTTTTCTGATGGCTTCACTATCTTGACTGTTTTCAAGGATGTCAGCAATGCATGTGTGAATGCAGCTTGTTTTGCTCATTTAATATGCAGATGTCAAGTCCAGCTCTGAAACAAAGCAGGCAGCAAAATAAACAAGCCTGACTGAGTAGCGGAGGTACATATAAATAATCTTGGGAGAAGAAACAAAGCACATTTTGACCAACTTTTAGCAATTGTGTTTCCCATTAACGAACTGAGGTTGTATGTGGCTGGACTTGGGATAGCTGTAAAGTCTCCATCACGAAAGGAATGAACAGTAGACGCAACGCCTCATCGTACATTAAGCAACATTCAATTCTGATTCAATTTTCAGCCCAACAAAATCCATTGTATTAAAATAATGAACACAATTAATTTTAATATATGCAAAAATATTTATTTTATATTAATACAAAATATAAAACTTTTAAAATCTAATAAAATTATTTGCACAAAAACTTTTATTAATTTATTTTATACCATTCCAAATCATCTGGTTTATGGGAAGACGGTGTATTAATGATAGCTTGGGTATCATTGAAAATATTGCTGCAAATATTATCGCCGATCTGAAATGCAAATTTTGTAATTATTATTATTGAATTGAGATGTGATATTATGATATTACCTGAAGAGACGATACTAAATTATCGGGACAGTCTAGCACGTTAAGTCCAGATTCTAGAAAGAGATTAGAGATAAGCAAAGTATGTTATTAAATTAAATAATTAATAGTTTTTTTTTTTTGATGAATATTTAATAGGGAAATTTAGATTTAGTTTAACTATTCACTGAGCGAATCACTCAAAGGGTTTTATAGGTCGGCTTAAAACAAATTTATTCAAAATGTTTTTTGAAGTAGTAGTCAATAAATTATTAATCTTAGCCCACTTTAATTAAATCTACTTTGATTTCGATTCATTTATCTGTTTGAATCACACAGATTTGTCTGTCGCTTGTAAAAAATGCTCGAATATGTTAAATTCCAAATCGGGTTTCTTCTTGGATTCTTTGTCTTTCTTTCAAAGCATTTGATACTTACGTATTCTAGGATCATTCCATGAAGTCGTTCGATCAATATGGTTTATAAAATAAATATCTCCAGACTCGGTAACAGCTTGTTCCCAACCATCGGGTAATGGACCAAGATGAGTAGCTATAGTCGATGAGCTAGTTGGCTTTGTCGTTTGTATAACATCTGCATTGAAAGGCATCAAGTTGGAGATATTTAATATAGGATTGGTACGTTATTATGCATATATAAACATCTATATATAATAACATGTTCAACGAAACCAGTAATTTATTAATATTTTTTTCAAATTTTATATGCTGTCGGAGGAACTGCTGAATGTAAGTGGAGAAGACTTTATTATTCATGGTCTCTTTTAATGTAATAATGCAAGAGTTATCAAACATCATTGGCATTCCGGGAGCGAAACAATTTATTCGTTTGCAGCTAGGCAAAAACATTCATATTCATTTCATTATCATAATTGGCCTTTCTTCAGCCCATTTGAAACCAAGTTCCAATAGAAACTATCAGTTATCCAACTTCAGAATTTCTTATTTCAGAATGTGAACAAATTCGGCAGTATCTCTCATATCTAATATAGAACATGTAAAACAATACAAACCGATTTTGAATGGCTGTTAACAAAGGCTTCAAATTGATAATTGATAACTTTATAATTGTTATTCTTTGACTTCGATTTATGCGTGTACTTAAAATAACTGTGTAATTTTTAGTTTAAAATATATATTTTATAATATTCAAATGTATAGATATTTCAATAGATATATATTTATGAACATACCATTTGGCTTTATCCGTTCAGCTAAAGCTCGTTGCTGCTGTTGGCGAAACTGAATTCGTGGATCCTCCCATTGCGTTGTTTTTGAGGTGTGGCTGCAAATCGAAAATAAAAACAAGGTTAGTAAAACTCGGGCTTTGTTCAAGCCAAATTAAATGCTCAATATATGTCAGTTTAGACACGTACTACTCGCCAGTCTAAATTTTGTTGAGTTGCAAAAGCTAATCTTTTGTACTAGTTTATTGATCTTATAATTTATACATTAAATATGCCATAAGGAATTATTCCATTTTATATATCATATATAAAATATGAAAAAAGAAATTTTAATAAATATTTCTGAAAAATTTTCTTTAGGGACATATTTAAATAATTTCCTTCTATAAATTATTTTAATTTATGTTAATGTTGATTTTTCCTCTGAATTAAAGAATTTTTAAATTAAAAATTAGTTTAAAAAATAAATGTTCATTAATTACTGCAGATTCCTTCACTTATATGTATATATTATAAATATATGATAAATTGAAAAATTTTTCTGTATTGCGACGCGAGTTTGCTTGCTTTTACCTGTTGCATGCATTGGCCTGAAGCCATTCAAACAAGGGATAGATGAAATAATATATATATATATATATACATGTATACATATAAATAACTATGTATATATAAGAAAATAAAAATATATAATATGTGAATCCTATCCACTAATCTGTTTAAAGCCAATGATATTTTACTAACCAAATATTATGTTTTTTTTTTATTATTACTTTTTTTTTGTTGATTTGGCACAATAATTATTGATGTTATGAGTCAGTTAAATACTTTAAGAATTAAGCAATATAGTTATTTTTAACTAATTATTCAATTCAAAATACTTACTTTAAATAGTAAATTTGTCCATCGTTAGTTTTGGCCTGCTCCCAGCCAGGCGGTAAGGCACCTAATTGACTTTGTAATTGAATTGGGCTGACGACATCGTATGATCTTTGCTTTTTATGAATTGTTGTCTGTGTGGCAGCTAAGGCAGCAGCGTCCGGTCCTGGTACTGGTCCCATGCACGTATTGATGACATCTAAATCGATATTGTTGGCCGTACTAGCGCTGACGAAGTCGACGCTAGTTTCGGGATATGCTGGCCCTTGGTTAGTGTTGGTGTTGTTAGCGCTCGGCTCGTTGCGGGTGCGCACATTGTAGTTCTGCTGCAGGGACGCCGGACTGCTGCGAGCACGAATATGATGTATTGCCAGACGGCTGTGTGATGGCTGGTTCTGCTGTGTGAGAGATGGCTGCATTTCTGGCTGGGCAGTCTTGTTGATATTGGTTTGGGAGCCATCGTATGTGGAATCGGCACTGTTGGCACGCGAGTGGAGCGGTGCCGGAGGATTGAAAAATGAATTGGGTAGCTTGCGCATACGAAATGGTAATTGCAATGGAAGCTTCGCATCTCCTGGATTCAATACACTATCGAATAATGCTTGCAAATTATCATCAGAATCTTGATTTACTCGTACAACAAGATTCGTTGATATTTTCGTCGGTGATAGCATATCCTCATCGTCGATTTCCTTTTCGCTAATATTGCTTTTATTACTTAAAGACATTGTTCCGAAATATTTGTTTATGTACACAATACAGTTATAAAAAAAAACCCCAGCCACACAATGTCATCAATTTCATTTGTAAATTAGTTTCCAAACAAACACTTAGATCACTTCATCATATTTTTGTACACAAACAATTTTTTTTTTTTTGTATATGCAAACTTATGTCTATTAAATAGTGAAATTCCGTGTTACTATAAGACTTAAACAATATTTATATACACATATACTTGTATATTATACCATACACGACAGAACTGCCAACATAACACAGCAAATTATATAAAGGGTATCATTCAACAGTTTGTCTTTAGAGAAATATCGATATTTTTAGCCGATATTTGTGGCATCCTAATTAAATAAAATTTCTCAGTATTTAAAGTAAAGTTAGTTTCTTATATGTTAGAATAATAATATAATATAAATAGAAGAAATAACTAGTTGTTCAATAATTGTCCCAGCTATTTATTTTTATTCTCATCTTCTCATATTTGTGTAATCGTCTATGAGAAGCAACTGGTGGCATCTACAAGTATTTGATTGCCGGTGGTGGAAACAGATTGTTATTTATGATTTATAATTTTGCTTATATGTAATAATATTTTGTATTATTTTTTAAAATCTCTAAAAGGTAATTGAAATATATATTTATCAATTATAGTAATGCAAATACACAATTTTGACGGACTGATAAGAATGGAATAAAAATGCTCTTAATTGGGCTGATTCAAAACATTTCTAATAAGACAAGCACACAGTCTATACTGTTTGACTAGGCAATAATTTCAATGATTTTATTACGAACATACTGCAAGTGGTAAGATAAATAATTTGGATTTTATATTTTATACCATTCTCTTACTGCAACTAATATTTTCAGATCATCTCGAAGGCTTGGTACCTCTCATATGGTAATAAATTTGGGTGCTTTTATTAAATATTTAAAAAAGTATTCTTATAAATTTAAATATTTAACATGTGTCAATGCTAGAAATACAGATTTCCAATTAGGATTTACCTTGCACTGCGCTAGGCTTTCTATTATTCTAACTTACTCATATCGATATCTTTCATGCTCTCCAATATACACACGCTTTAAATTTCTCTGGTTAGATACTAAGTGGAAATATCGACACTTATCGATGTTAAGGAAATAGAATGAGACATCGTCATATAATTGAAAAGCTGCATACGATATCAAGAATGAATACATACAGACACGTACATACGTATAAGCCTATGTATGTATTTATATGCTTCCTCTATATGTAGTAGTTTTTGAGCTATGGGAAATTCAGCTCGTACTGAAACCTTTACCCTCTGACCCCTCCTTAAAAGAAACGAAATGATATTTAAATTGATTAATTAATTCTTTTTAGCTTAGTTTTACTTGAATATTCTACTAGCTTCAGCTTTAGTATTTCGCATGCAAGTACTATACACACACATACACGCACATGCGCATACAATTATAAGATAAATATGCATTAAAGATCTTAAAAAATTCCCTATATGGTCATTCCCGACTTGAAAGATTTATGATAATTAATTCTTTAAGATATTAGCTATTAATTGCTGAAATTCTATTAGTCTTTCTGATTTGTCTTGTGTTATCCCAACTTCTAATTTATTGATTTTAGATCTAGATCTGGTTTAGCTTCAATATTCTTATTATTTTCATATGATAGTCACAATTTTTATAATTTAATGAATAAATAAGATATTTACTATACTATTCGAGGGATGGAATGTTGAATTCGTGACTCGCTTTGAAAGTATTTTCAATTGATCTAAAAGATTATCCAGATAATTAAGCCTTTGATCTGTCTTGTTTGAAGAGTTTTACAAAAATTATAAGCAAATATGAATTAAACTTATGAAACGAATAACTCTATCAGAAATTTCCTAAAAGCTAGAAACTTTATTAAAAAGTATATTTTACATGCAAGTATGAAAATACATTTCACCACATATCATAAAATTAAATTATAATTTCGGACTATTCATTTTATTCTATTGCGATACAATGGGGCTCTTTTTATCTATATCCGCTATATTTGCATTGTTTTGAGGTCCAGAAGGGTTGCCAGGACTAGCTGGAATATTGCCTCCCCGCTCCATACTCCATGGATTTGAGCCAGATATTGGCGAATCGGCATGGCCAAAGCCAGTATGATTATCGTGCTCGACGGCATTTGTGCCATCGTATTGGGTATTTTCCAAACGTGTAATGAGCCTTTCGTCCTCCTCTCCGAATTCGCCACCCATTAATGTTGGCTCGCCAACAACCATCACATCTTGCGAGGACAGGGAAAAGCTGGGTCCCGATGGCGATCTCTTTTGATTCGCTACGGGCGGTGTGCTCGTGTTGTTGGCACCTCCCGAATTGGATCCTTTTCTTTTGCGACGCTTATTCGGCGGTCTTTGGGGGTCCTTTTTGCCGGGCGGCGCGACCATGCGCTGCCATTTTTGAAATAAAGTCGTCTTTAAGCAATCGCGCGGACTCAGAGCATACGCCTTGTGGCGTGACATTAGCTCCTGCATTGGCTCCAGTATAACACACAAGCGAAGGTAGTTCAAGGTTGAGTTTGTTATGCCAGCCCGAGTGATATTCTTGGTTATTTGATCCAACAGCATCGGATCTGGCGGAAGCGAAGTGCCAATTACGGATCGTGGAATGAGTTCTCGATGCCCTTTGATGGTCATGTGCCATGATTTGATTCTCATGTAGTCATCGTACATAAATTCTAGTATAAGTCTTGCATCCGCACACACTTTTGTAAAAAATGGCTTGCCATGCTGTGTTATTATGGTGCACTGATCGCAATCCAATGTTATGGATGTGTTGTGAAAAGATTCCTTAGCATGCTTCAGCTGGAAATACAGGTCAGAAACGCCGCCCTCAAAGATGCTTCGAAAAAAGCGTGGCACCAGTGTCCGGCCAATTGTATATCTTTTTGGTCCATCCTCCAAACAGAATAATATTGTTAATCTGGCGTCATCCTCGAAGAATTCGGTTGTGAACGAATCCCACCAGCAGTTGTCGCTGTCTTCATTGCGCTGTTGCAGGCGTTTGTTCAGCTCAAACACTCGATGCTCTGTGTGACTGAAGTATGAGTTGTGTCTCCTAAAGCCTTGATCGATTCTATCCATTTGCTGAGGTCCACCCATCATTGGATGGTTTCCACCATGGCCAAATGGTGATGCTGGTGGCATGGGATTGAATTGGCTTCCGACGCCAAAAACTGTCGGCGAGGAGAAATGACCAGCCTGCCCGCTGTTAAATGGTGTGCCTGAGCTTGCTGGTCGACTAAATTGACCCAAGCCGGAAGACGGCGACCCAAATGGTCCGCCAACTGGTCCGTTGAAGTTGCCAGCAGTTGAGGATTGTGAATAATTTCCCTGTATATTTTGCGATGCAACACCCACAGGTCCTGGAGTCGATGAGCCTGACGGAGCTGGCGATGAAGTATATTGAGGAGTATTCGATCCGGGTTGATTAGTATTTTGAAATACTAAAGACTGATTGCCAGCAGGTGAGGATTGTCCAGCTTGTGGGTATGGATTGCCACTAGCCGAATATGGTAGCCCGCCTTGTGGAAATCCACTCTGATTGCTGGCGTCCGGATTTATAGATGAAGAATTCGATGAAGGCAACATTGCTGAGCCTTCTGTTACCCCTTTCCAGCTTCCTTCGTCAATATTTGATTGAGAAGTCATCGTATTTCCAGTATTTAAACCTCTACGATTCATTCCTACTTCAGTAGTTTTAATAACATTCGCTTAGGTCTGAAAACAATTAATTTTCGTTCACATTAATCACAATCATGTCACTTAATAACAAAAGTTTACTTTTCAATAGCATTTTGTAAGTAGTAAAAACAACTTTTTTATTTGGAAACAATAAACTGTATTGAAAAGATATTTCTTAATATTGTGTTCGACAAACATTGTATTGAATAGAAAAATAACTTTCAAGTTAAGAATCAATAACAACATTAAATGAACACTTTCAAATAAACACTTGTGACTTACCTAAATAAAAAGAAATATATATTAAACTTTCAATTATGTATCTACTTTCCAAAGGGAATAATCGTTCAATTAGATAGAAATGTTATCGAGTTGATAAGCATATATCGAAATAAAATGCGTATGTAAATTACGTCAGAGTAACGTCACATTTTCAATCAAAGAACACACAACCATTCTAGCATATGCAATTTTTTCTCACTATAAATATATATATTTATAATATATCATAACATTTTATGGAAGTGTTGTAAGTTTATAATTATTGAGCTTATCAAATATTGAATGTTAATTATCCATGCACTCAAAAATGTATATTTCCGTATTCCGCCGAAACAGTTAATTTGGTTCGATAAAAAAATAAATAAAACAAACAAACAAATAAATAAATTTAAATATTCAGAATAATGATAAAAATATAATTCATCAGTTCAGTGCAGTATTTTTTTATCTTTGAAATATAAATATGTATTGTGCGTAATGTACTTTCACATATATAAATCAATGATAGTAAATATTTTTATTCCATTTAATGCAAATTATTTATGTATATATGTAAGACTTTATTTACATAAGATTTGCGATATAAAATATATGTATATAGACTTTTAACACACAAAACAATAATGTGCCCTGATAGCTAGCATATGTCTCAAGTAAATAACACGGCCAGTGGAAAATAGTCAAATGTTATCGATATTTTTGAAATTAACTCTGAATTCTACAATCATAGAGACAATCAATCATATTCATTTTTACAAGTTGAATAGTATGGAACATATTTTATTAAAAACGTGTGATTTACATTCTCGTCATAAATTTTGGAGTTTATTGCCAATACTACAAAATATTACTACAAATTCTACGAAAAGGACATATACCCAATCTGATAGTCTAAATATGAACGTATAAATTCAGCATTCAATATTTCGCAATCGTTCCGAGCAATTTCATGGTTCTTATATACATACATATGTACATACGTACATACCTTCAATAGGACAAACACAAAATGTGTTGAAAATCAACTGCTGGACATATTCAAGCTCTAAATAAATAACTATTTACATGGATAATATAATATTGAGATTGTGCTCAAAATTTCAAACTGAAATAATGAAGATGGATTTTTGTAAACAAATACGCTTGGATGTTGATGAATCAGAATCTGTGAATTTGAGATCAATAATCAAACATATAAATTGCAATTGATTTTATGCTGCATATATTGCAAATGATTGTAGCCATGAGCTCCCCAATTCATAAACAATATTGCTTCGCATCGCCGCGACGTACGAAAACTACTTCAGAATCTGATAAGGGATTACTCAACAATTCTGAAGAAAGGAATGCGAATATATTGTTAGATGACTTACCGCCACAGCCACTCGCCGCAGCAATGTTTTCTTTCCAGTTGATGGCAGATGCTGTTAACAGAGCGCTGCAGCACTGCACAACATCACCACCCAAAAACTCTACTATGACGCAGATTGAATTTAATTCTAGTAGTGCCCCGTCATTTTGTTACTTTTTTATTGATATGCAACCGCAATCTGAGAATGATTATAATTTTTCGGACTACAATATGAATTCTTATCAAAACTACACAAATCCCTCGGATAAACAACAACCAAGTAGCTGTCACCAAACATCAGAGGCGAATGATTCGAAGTTTCAACGACAAAGAAGTCTGTCCGAATGTAGTGATGACAGTTTTATATGCTTCGAGGATGATAACAAAAGTATTGATTCGATTGCATTTGGTTGCACAGATTGTAATGGAACGGATAAAATGTCTGAAATCGATAATAGTCAAGAACATCGGAAGCGGGTATGTTTGAAATAATTAAACTAACTTGGAGATACAACTAAAATTTTTATAATTTCAGGTACGCTTTGATTTAAAACCAAAGGTTCATGTTATGCACACTTGGGATTACGCTTATCGGGCGGCTCGGAAAGGTGGTTGGCAACAGATCGCTCTCGATCGTGAAAGA